TGACGTCACCGTCAACATCCAGTTGCGTAGGTGAATAACGCGCAGATAGTGATCCTCTTGGGGTGTTGTGACTCTGGAACGTCCACTTCTGGGTCGATCACATGTCTGGACTGTCGTACTGAGACGGTTATGGTTTGTCTTGTGCAACCCAATGTCCTTGCAATATCGCTGTTGACAGCACCCATTTGTGTCATTCCTTTGGCCCTTTGGGTGATTCTGACCCAAGTTCCTTTACAAAAATATTTAGATCATTTTTTTAACTACTGTAAACAATGGAAACTGGCTTTTAATATATGAAAAACTAAAATTGTTACATTTGGTAGTGGGCAGAAGAAAAATAAAACATGTTATTTACTAATGATACTACTTAATTGGAATTTTTCAGTTCATATAATTACCTGAGAATTAATTTCACAAGAATAGAAAATTATAACCGTCTACCCCTAATTTCATGATTGGTGAGAACTAATTAGGTTTCTCAGTATTGATAAGCAAATGTTTTACTTTCAGAACTTGTACTTCAATGAAGGTATCTTCCATACTATATAATTATATCATAACTGATAAAACAGTGAATGTGTATCCATGGCTAAGTCAAATACAGTCAGTGTTAAACAACTGTGGAATCACGTAAGTATACTACTCACACTTTGCTAAGGGTCACAAAAATTCACAACTTTACTTAAACGTAGATTTATAATTTGAAATTGTATCCATTTAAAACTGGATAAATAATAATATGGCAACCCCTCTTTAGGCAAACGGCCACTTTGATCTAACCTTATGCACTTGATACATGAGTAACCATAAACGTGGTTTTCATGGCACCAATCAACATTTTGCAAATCATGGAACGAGTCCTTGACAAGTACACAACAATAGCAGGTATGGGTTCCACAAGATGAAATGACATACTGAAACCTAGGATCCATACTTACAATAAGCTTAGATATTGAAACCAAATTTGACCCCACATCATAGTTTACTGTTGAATCCATGATTTGATCCTTAGCCAAGTGTAAACAGTATATTTCGAAAGTCTCTGCATTGTTTCAACTGTGGAAGGTGTACTGAAAGATTATTAGATTCAAAATACCTTGTCAAGATGTAAACCATAAACTACTTATTATGGCCCAGTCCTGTAACTTATCGTATCCTGTGATATATCCCTACAAATCAGGTACCTAACTGGTTGATTGGTCCTGGTGTTAAAGCGTACCCTCGCCAAGCTGAAAGCCGGGTCGATTCACCACATGGTGTCAGTGTATATATAATATTTTGAAACTGGTGGATATTTCAGCTGCATAACAAATAGTCATCCCCTCCTAGTACATATCGAAGTGTTTGTTAAACTGAAAGTTTAGAAATCCAAGCAGATCTTCAGACATAAAAATCAATGGGTCAAAATTACATGCGGGGCATCTAAATGGGGTATTCCCGTGAAGTAGAATTTTGTTGTTACGGTTTTATCTTCTTGATGTTGTGCCGGTGTTGTTATAATCTAAATCCGTTGCCTTCAAAGGCCCTATCGGTTTCAACACCAAGAAAGCGATTTGTATAATTCTGCTACCAAAATATATGATTGTAATGTCACAAAAGCATATATTTTACGATATGCAGCGAAGATTTCAAATAGCGTGATACAATAAGGCCTCAGTAAAACTTTAAAATGCAAGCTGTGGTAAACACTTGGAGGACATTTCCAAATTTGACGTGTCCGTTACAAAAACATGTTCTATGCAGTTCCCTTTTTGGACCAAACGTTGTCATGTCTTCAGGTGAACTATTGTCTTGCTGTATGTGGGTGTCACCAGTGGGGCCTGATACGCTGCCTGGTCACGAACACCGGGTGTCATCACAGCTTGGTTGTAGTTCATACACTAATGATCATCTTTGTCGGAATCGTAAATCGATTCATTCTGCTTCTAGCAGAGATGTCTAATGAATATGGAATGACTTCTGTTTTGTTGTTATCAAAATGTCGCAATCCTTGTTTTTTCAATATATTTTCCTAATAAACTTTACGAGGACGAGTCCGATAGGAGGTGACGGAGAGAGGCGAGTGTTGACGAGGTTACGTTTAAAGCAGAGCTCTTGACCCACATTGCCAAAGCTGGTTGTGTAGAAGGGTTGTACGAGTAGCTAGTGTGTCTTAAGTTATCTATCACAGGACCCGTGGACGAAATACACAGTTTCACAGGTGCTTCAATCACAGAGAGAGTTGACACAAGCGAGTAAACCAAACACGCAAGAACGCTTTAACACTGATTTGATTGAGATACCTTGTCAACTATACACACACGTGAGTATTCCTAGTCTATAACCGTGTTAATGCGGTAACATAATCTCATACTGTGTATTTCTTTTCAAAATAATTTATTTATTATTATTGGATATTTATATAGCGCACATATTCACGCACTAGTGCATGTTCAGCGTCCCTCAACGTAAGTAATTATCGATAATGGTTTATGTTTGTGCACTAGAACAATCATTATTATGTATACACGTGGAGGTTCGCGACTGTTATCGCTTTAGTGTTCAGTGGTGGGTGGAGGGTTTGGCGCGCTGCGAGGATAACGAACACCCCCAACCCCCGACTATGTCGACCTGGAATATAGCGGTATGTCTTTTTTCCAACCTGCTGCATATTTCAAAGTGAATATTGACACAAATTTCATATAGCCCATTTCACTAATTGTGAGATCGTGCCATGGTAATTGGATACATTTTCTTTACTATTGGTCGGTTAAGAGTATTGACAACAAACATTTTTAATGGAAGAACGTGTTACTGGTTTTACGTTTAAAGATCTCAGGTAAAATGTTTAATTACTTCATCATAGCAATAAAACCCGAAAGGAATGAACCAATTGCGGGACAGTGAGTTGACCTAATTCATCAGTATGCCAGTTACAAACAACAGGATTGCGCCGTGCTAGATCAACTCGTGTCAGGGAACGTCTCAAAATCATTATTAGGGTCAGTAATTAGACTATATCGACATATCTGATGTAGTTCATTTACCATTTCACAAACATTGCGATTATAGCGTCTCCCCTAACTACAACAAAAGAGGATGAGATTTACAATCGCGTAAGTACATATTGATATACGCCCACGATAACAAGGAGCGCTTAAGTGGAAACGTCTCCTATATAATCAATCATTTGAATCGAGATGTGTTTGTGCAATTATATAATCTTAATATGGTTGTATTTTCCATATTCGAGCCTACAGTGTGAGGGAACGCATGCTAAGATTATTAAGTACACTACACAATAATATACCGTTTACGGTAGACATATTATGATTGTTGTGTCTCCTATACTCGAGCTTACAGATCAAGGAAGGACATGTTAAACAGGATATTGTGTATAGTACACGCCCCAATCTTAGCATGTGCTGTCTTACACAAGAGGCTTGAGTATAGGAGACATCACTGTCATAGAATGTCTACCTTCAACACGGTATATTGTCCTGTACTGGAGCCTACAGGGTAAGTGAGCACATGCTAAGATTGGCGAATATACGACATTGCAACTTACAGTTTAAAGGGAGACATGCCTTGACAGTCTTGTCTCCAATACTCGAGCCTACAGGGTAAGTGAGCACATGCTAAGATTGGCGAATATACGACATTGCAACTTACAGTTTAAAGGGAGACATGCCTTGACAGTCTTGTCTCCAATACTCGAGCCTACAGGGTAAGTGAGCACATGCTAAGACTGGCGAATATACGACATTGCAACTTACAGTTTAAAGGGAGACATGCCTTGACAGTCTTGTCTCCAATACTCGAGCCTACAGGGTAAGTGAGCACATGCTAAGACTGGCGAATACACGACATTGCAACTTACAGTTTAAAGGGAGACATGCCTTGACAGTCTTGTCTCCAATACTCGAGCCTACAGTGTAATGGAGCACATGCTAAGACTGGCGCGTGTACTATACTACAATATACCGTTTAGAGGCAGGCATGCTATGACAGTTGTCTCATATACTCGGGCCTTTAGTGTAAGGAAGCAGATGCTAAGATTGGTGCGTGTACTATACTGCAATATAACGTTTAAAGGTGGACACGCAACGACTGTGGTGTCACTCATGCTCCAGCACAGACAATGACCGATTACTCATCTCATTAAAATAGTTGGAATTGTACGGAATGGAGCGTTGACATAACGGTCGACGGCGTGAAGATGGATTTAAATTGCTGACCCAGTTGATGAAACCACGAGCAAAGCCATGGTGCTTACAAAGCCCTGAACACATCAGACTCACGAAAGCTTCCATGGAGGCCAGTTACCCACAAGCTCTGAGCAACAGTGAGTTGGGTTTACGACGTTTGGAACTGTGTTCGTAATATATCAGCTTTATATTGGAGGAAAGTCGGAAGTGATTCAGGTTTTAGACGCTTACCATTTTGGAAAAGGTAAATTTTAACGCAAGAATGACTGTGCTGTGACTTCAGTGAACGGAGAAGTCAATGAAATATCCGAAGGTGTATTTGACCTGTGCGTCATTTGTGGCTCGTGAAAGATCGACTGAGTGTGTAAGACAGGATTAATCTTCCCCAGTATTTTAACTGGAACGAAGAAGTTGGACCTGCTTTATGATAAACGAAGACAATTCTTAGTTTGAGTCTCCAGCACCTCCTTTCACAAAGCACTAAGGTGATCGTAAGTCACTAAGGTAACCTTAGTGCAATGTTAAAGAATGGGAGTTAAGGTCAACCTTAATAAAGGTTGCTTCGTGAAAGGAGCCCCAAGTCCTTGAAATGATTTACACGGATATTGTAGAGTGACAATAATTCTTACAGCGTGAGTCATTTTTGTTGTCGGCATGAAATGGACGTAATCTGTCACTACACTGGGACAGAACATCTGCACAAGTAGGTGGCCAATGGCCGTGTCATCATTCCCCACGAACAGCTGAGCTAATACATCAATATCCAGACAAATGAAAGATGGTTAGCGATAGAAAATAATACAGGAAACAAAATAGTTATACATATAAAACATTTACTTCCATCCTCGTCAAGGCACAGGTAAAATAGACACAAGAAGTCTGACAATCAGGTCAGCAAACATGTTACACTTGATGTTCGAATTCAGCAACATTCAAGTAATCAATGAACTTTCTGGGCAAGGGGAGGTATTTCACTGCTTCACGTATGTTTCTTGAGTGATGCAAGTGACACCGTATGACTCTGCGACATATTCTCTGAAGTGTCGTCTGCATCACAAACTCCTCCTCAAGCCAGCTGGGGCAGTCTGCTTCCCCTCCGAACAGATGTGTCAGTAACACCATATCATAGTCCACGTGTGCGCCACACAGAATAAGGTATTTTAGCACCACTGGATCACGTGTCATGTGGACGGGCGGGTCTGGAAGTCGTTCACGGCGTTGATGTCAGCCCCAGTGTTAACCAACAAGTCGATCATCTCAAAGTGAGCCTTGTTCTCTCCCTGGAGAAGCTGCTGGATGTCTGAAGTGGGGATCCGTCTCATCCGTCGATAGAAGTCCACCGAGGTACACAGCATAGTCCGTATGTTCGACCTGGACAACCTGTCACAGGCAACGTGTAATGGGGTGTCCCCCTTGTGATCCTTATAGTTGACGTCTGCACCCCGTAGCAAGAGGAAGCGACTTCCTTCCAAATCGTTACCCATCACGCAAGCAAATAATGGCGTCCACCCGTATTTATCCGCGCCATGTATTGAGGTGCCGTAATTGAGTAGGAGCTCTGCAATGTCCAGATGCTTGCCTTCGATGGCCCTGTGTAGAGCATCTCGCTCCACGTAATCTCCACGGTGAACAGAGGCACCGTTGTGCATCAGCACGTCCACGATTGTTCTGTAACCAAGGTGACAGGCGTGGTGAAGGGGCGTCATACCACAGCCATCCTGCCCATCAACCTGGGCTCCACTACTCAGCAGTGTTTCTACCATTCTCAGGGAGTCCTTCAGAACCGCCATGTGTAGAGGTCTACGTTGCCAGGCAATGGTTTCTGACTTCTCGAGGTTGGCGCCAGCATGAATCAGTAGTTCGGCCACATCGTCATAGCCCTGCTCCAAGGCGTGGATGAGGGGAGTTTTAGCATAGAGGATAACACAGTCTATGTTGACCCCAGACTCAATAAGATGACGGATCTTTCCCAGGTCTCGTTTCTCTATGGCTCCAACCATACGGAACTGCATTTCTTTCTGATACCGCTTGGATCCTGAAACAGATATGCACAAATTAAGGTAAAAAATTCAAGGGCCTAGATTTTCGAAGCTCTCTTAGCGCTAAGATAGTCGTAAGTGCCATACATTAACATTAACTTACGACTATCTTAGCGCTAAGAGAGCTCTCGGAAAATCTAGGTCCAGGGCCTTAAAGTCTGATTCATGAACAGGGTTGAAAACCGAGCTACAACCTCATCACAACATGGGACAACTCAAGAAGTTTCATGCAATGGGGGAGACCTTACGAGATCGGGCACTTGGGACCAAACCTGCCTCGGAATCTCCACAGGGTAGGCACAGCAGCCAACCATTAAACAAATGTGTGTAATTATAGTATAGCGGACATTAGCAACATTTAGCAATGCAAAGTCATCAACATACCCATTAGTTATAATGTATGTGTGTGTATTGATACATTGCAATTGATACACTAAGTAAGATCACTTTTCCAGAAAGAAGAAACTTAAAGAAAGACTGACTGACTGAGTTTGGTTTTACACCGCTTTTAGCTATATTCCAGCAACATCACGGCGGGGGACACCAGAAATGGGATTCACACATTGTACCTATGTGGGGATTTGAACCCGGGTCTTCGGCGTGACGAGCCAACGCTTTAACCACTAGGCTACCCCACCGCCCCCTTAAAGAAAGAAGTGGTAGTAATAAATATAATCACTCACGGATATTATCAGTAACAAACATTAAAGTTAATTATCAAATACCAATTAAAACATGGTTTTTATCCTGTAAATATGATAAGCATTAATGATTATTATCCAGTAACGATAATAAACATTAAGGCTTATTATCTAGTAACAATCGCTGGCATAAATATATATCTGGTACCAATTACAGACACCAATGGTTAATATCCCCTTATTATTTCTTGCGTACCTATTACACAGCTTAAATCCATCTTCACCTTCAAATGTCTACCGGACTCTTCTTCATGGGCTTCAGATGAGGGTGACACCGATACTAAGGGTGGGAGAGGTGGTGGGGTCGGTGGAGAAGACGGAGGGTGTATATCCTCCGAGTCCTGTGCAGCCATTATGTATAACTGAAAAGTAAATGGACACTTTCACGTAACCTGTCATCATCTGTTTCAGTCATTAATCATACTGTTTTTGTTTGTCTCGAGATAAGTGTACAGTGCTTTCAAGTTAGAGAAGGGATACCGGGAGATTTAACAACTATAAATTCAATTTGAAACCCAACATGCACCGTACATTTATCTATATTCTATCAAGACAAACGTATGACATAACATGACCCTCTGGGGTTAGCCGCATGGTGAAGTGCGACCAAATTGGTGCTAGCTTAACACTATTAACTGTCCTTCAACAAACAATGGCGCTTAATGTTTTTGAACATAATTTGATACATCAATATGCTATATTCCTATATACGGCATATTCGCATATAAAGTTTGTATCAAAGATACTTCTTACACCAGACTGAAGTTGCTACCTTTGCGTATACGAGAAGCGCATTAAAAAAGGTATTGTCAACAACACGATGTTGCTTGATTAATCGCTGTTATCTTGCGGAATAGATTTATCAAAAGATAGTGTTTCTGTATGTGTGTTTACTCAGGGAGAGGGAACACCCCGACTTGTCGATATTTGCAACATTTTGAACATAATCATTCTGCTTCATTTACGTTAAGGTTCTGAGATTCTTCAAGGTCGTTGTTCTGAAACACATTGTCCCTTAATTTAACATATTGGAACGTCTTAAAACGTTTTTGTAAAAGTGCTTCACAATATCGCTCTAGAATAATTATTAGAAGCCAAAGTATATATTATTGTACACGAACTTCCGTTCTCATTCAGTTCTAACATTTTCAGTCACTGGGAGGTGCAATTTAACTAAACACATATAATTGTTATAAGAAACTACATGGACAGATTTTAAAGTTAGTTTGTAAAAAAGCTGACATATTATGGGATTATATTATTTGTCAGGAAAGACATTTGAGTCATTTTACATATTGACTGTAACACACACGATGTGGTTAATAACCAAAGTCCAATGTTCATGTGTTAAAATCTAAATAGTGTACATGAAAATCGCAGAATATGAAGCAAGTAATTTATCAAAACTTCGTCTTGCATCTTACCGATGCGATACACAATGATATCTACATTCCTCTATTAATTCCAAAACGAAACTATATTTCGCCATTGTGATGATTCATTCAATGTAAGGATACATTCTTGTACTTTGGCGCAACTTACATCGCGAACCAGTCGAGATATCATCCAGATATGCAAGGGAAAAAAAGACTAACAGAAGCGAGAACTAGTCCCGGCGGAGATCAGTGCCCCTGTAACTAACTGCACAGCAACAGGCGCTGGCATGTGACATTGTGGCACGCTTTTCTATATTTGCAACATGGCAGATGGAGGTTCTTGTGTCATTCATCAGGCGGTATATGGGTCACCTTGCCACCATACAGGTGTCCCCAGCCGAGTTTGTGGAATTACATACTGACAAATGTTCATGTGCGTCTTTACTACTTTGATAATGCCGTGTTGCCGGTGGTTTGGTTCAGTTTTATATATGTGTTACTTAACGCACAACTCTGAAGCAGTCGGTTGTATGACAACAGCCTATAAATATACGTGGATGCACCAAACTATCCAGTGTCAGGAAAGAGTTTGGTAGATGGTGTCGGCCTGGGAAAGCGAAATTTCAATATTCCCTATTCCCGGTAAAGCGAAAACCAAAGTTGTACTAGAAGTGCCGCGAAAGCGAATTGCTATGAAAACATCGGATTACCGTACTTCAGATTAGCGCGCGACCCCAATACTCGATCTGTTAACCTCTTAACTGAGATGAAGTTTCAGCTAATTCAAGTTTCAGCACGTCCGTGACCCTACTTAACTATACAGCTTGTTCAGCTTGACCTGATCAAGTGAATACTAATAAGTTGCGTGACCGTGTCACAACTGGTTGGAGTCTGACTGCCTCCGTGGTGTAGTCGTTAGAGCGTCCGCCCGGAGTGCGGAAGGTCGCGGATTCGATCCCCGACCGCGTCATACCAAAAGACGTTAAAATATGGTACTTGTTGGTCCCTGCCTGGCGCTCGGCATTAATTGGTACAACAAGGACTGGTCGGCTCGGAGTCAGTATAATGTGTCTGAGTGGATTCATGCTTCACTGCGGGTGGTATCTCAGTGGGCTAGCACTATAAAACCAGCTTCAGTCTGGGCTAGTACAAGCAGCCGCACATACACATACACACGCATGCACGTCGTCATATGAGCGAAATATACTCAAGCACGACGTTAAACCCAATTCCACCACCACCACTGGTCGGGTCTATTATTGTGAACAGGTGCACCTTTGTCAGCTGATCGTCAACATGCCCGAACAGCCGAGACAAGGTCGCCGTTTGATATCTCAGTGACGAGAAATCGTCAGCAATGTCCTTACTTTCTTTAACAAATAAGCTACAGGTGATAGCGAGAGCGAATCGGATTGTGAAAGTAACTGCCGTCTGTACGTTGTAAAGTTAGTAAACCAAGCTAGATAGCTGACTGTATAAACAATTCAAGTAAAACATGAAATGATTATTTTTCAGAAGAGTTGTTTTCCGGGACAAGTTCTGTAACGAATCCATGAATGCATGTTTCGCACGAACGCAGCATTCTGTAGTTCTATTAATTCATATAATGAATTATTTTCATTGTTAAAAGAACCTTATTGTTCCTGGCCGAATTTTTTATGTACTCCTTTGTTATACTCATGTACCACCGATATCTGTTTTCCCGCGTGAGCGGGCACATCATTGTGAACTACCTAAGGGAAGTTGATCTGTATCATAAATTGTAACTATGTAATGCGAATAACGAATTGAGTGCCTTTGAATTAAGTGCTATGACATTTTCTGTGTTTAAATAACAATTTCCTGAATAAATATGTTTTAAAAATAAAACTCTTTTGGACTATGTACTTAAAATGTTTATGAATGCAGACTTGATTTCGTCACTAAATGGCTGGAATAATGCCGAATTCCTATCTCTGTATATATTAAAAAGTGAATAATTTCAATTTGCTTTAAACTTGCTACTAGTGTACATCAAAATAAAATGTCAGTTATAATTCACAATGTTTTATCAGAAATGCTAGAAAATAATATGTATGCTTCACCATGGCTTGCTAATGTTAAACGTATTTATTTATTTATTTATTTAAATTTCTGCCATGACTACTGTATCAGATGACGACTCACATTTCTTTGTTTTTCTTGTGTATTGAGAGTCCCGGAAACGCTAAATTCAGTGTTCACTGTAGCGAAAGCGACACCTAAACTGAGGTGGTTTGGTCCAGATTTCGCTTTCCCGGGCCATAACTTGGTAGAGTATATCATATTAACCACATGTAGCGTTACATCAGATCAATGGGCAAGAAAGGCCAACGTGGGAGACCGTTCCCTCTTTCGTGAAACCATCAAGCCTGCATACAAAAGAACATTAATAATATTGGGTTTTTTACCCGAACATTCCTCATTTGGCAAAGTTTGTATTTAGTGGAGAGGGTGGGGTTAGGGTCGGGTGGATGGTTAGATTGTGAAAACAGGGAGAGGAGAATACAATGTACTTTCTAGTACTGAAATACGTACACAATCCAGAAGAAACAATCGTGTGATCCTAAACATCTTTTGAACTGGATATTGCGTTCTCCATACAATAGGCTTGCTCCCTTTTGAGGTGAAATCTTGCTTACTGTCGTAAATGCAGGAAATATAGATACTGGGTATGTCAAAGTAAATTCAAAGGAGTCAGGGGCCATCATGGCTGATAGCGCTAAGCGTGTGGTCGTTGCTCAACAAGGGACTTGTGCATGTCGCAACAGCCATGGAAGGTCTGGTCAATTGTCGTAAAATCATTCTTTTCTCAACGTGCCAGTCCAATTATCCCGTGATGATCCGTGTTAAAACTGGTCTTCCGTAACAATTGCTTGTCGTCACTGGATCGGGAGGTCAGGCTCGCTGACTTGGCTGACACATATCATCCTATCCCAATTGCGTAGATTGCTGCTCTTGCAGCTGATCATTGAGTTGTCTGGTCCAGACTCGATTATTTACAGACCGCCGCCATATAGCTGGAATATTGCTTGGTTGGGCGTTAAACAACAAACCAATCAACCTCCCAGTCCAATTCGGTATCACAGAAATGACAAACGTCTAGGACCCTCTCACAATAGTCCCGAGTTGAGTTATACCGAAATACGGACATACAACATACAGAAACACACTCAGGATGTAACGTCTCATTGAGGGGATCCTGTGTTAAGATATGTCCCCAGGAACCTATGTTGGTTGGATGGAACGACCTTCAGGGTCTAGTTGATTACCTGCCACTGACCCCACGGCCCAGTTAATCTGCGGTGTCAAAATAAACCCACTCAATAATATTTCTCATTCCGTGAGTGTGTCCCTTCCAACGTGGCTTAAATGTACAGGCCTACCTAGGTTTTTCGACCCATATTTTTACCTATGTACATATGTGTGTAAATGATGCATCAGAGACTAAAAGTTGGTTAATAATCCCCCAGCGGTGCCTATAACACAGTTGCTGTCGCAAAAGTAATCAAATCATATGCGTATATGGGTCTGAAAACAATATGAAACAGATCAACCCGCCTCATTACACAATCCCTTACAGATTTATGCATGAACAGATGGACATATTCAGTTGCATCTGTGTTCACAGCACAATTCATAAGGCTACATAACTCGCCTCCATCAGTAACATCTGTTCATTAGGCCCTTCATCCATCCCCAAGTGGTAGCAGTTACGGCTCTACAGCTGGGTCAGATCGGACAACTCTTAGTGTACTAAGGTAAGCCATTCGGACACAATACATTTTTTGTTTGATTTTTATCCCATCCAGCAAAAGTGTGGAGGGAGTACCCTTACTTCGTATGAGAGGATCTTGATAGTACTCTCGTAACAACAATGATGGTAGCTCTTAAAGATCTTCTTGATGATGGTAACCAGCAACTAGCAACAATCTTGGGTAGCTCTTAAAGATAACCAGCAACTAGCA